AAAAGAAAAAAAAAAAACTTGGAAAAACTCAACTGAGGAACTGCAAGATCTCCACAATGAAAGCTTTGAGACACTAAAGAAAGACTGCCCCTGCTCATGGATTGACAGAATAAGAGTGTAAAAATGGACATGTTACTAAAAGCAATCTACAGATTCAACCCAATCCCAATAAAATTCCAATGACTCTCTTCACAAAACACCACCACCGCCAACAACAAATTATAAAGTGCATATGGACGTACAAAGGACCCCAAATAGTAAAATCAGTCCTAAGCAGCAAGAATAATGCTGGAAGTATCACAAATTATATTAACGAGCTATAGGAAGAAACATTATGTGGTGCTGGCAGAAGGAAAACAAAACAAATATGTAAGCCCACACAGCAACAGCAACAAAACAATCAGAATTACAACGTCAGGAAAAAGACTGCTGAACACCAGCTATAGAATAAAATAGAAATGTATTTCTCTGCTGTGCACAAAAACAAACAAAATGGACCAACGACATTATATGACCTAAGACTTTAAACAGCTAGCAGAAAACAGGAAAAACACCTGGAGATACAGGCATGGGTAAGGGAGTTCTGGACAGGGTTCTGCTAAATAGGGTATAAACCCAAGGGTTGACAAATGGGATTACATGAAATTTAAAAAGCTTCTCAACAAAGAAAACAGCCACTAGAGTGAGGAGACAGCCTGCAGATAGGGGGGAATCTTTGCTAACTACACATCAAATGGGATCAATATCTAGCAGGGTTTCTCAACCTTCCTAATGCTGTGACCCTTAATATAGTTCCCCATGTTGTGGTGACCCCCAACCATAAAATTATTTCATTGCTACTTCAGAACTGTAATTTTGCTACTGTTATGAATTGTAATGTAAATATCTCATATGCAGGATATCTGATATGCGACTCCAAAGGGGTTGCGACCCATAGGTTGAGAACCACTGATCTAGAAGTTTTAAAGAAATGCAAAAAGTAAACACCAAAAGGCAAATCATCAGTAGATGGGCTAATAAATAGAATAGAGTTTCTCAAAATAAGAAATATAAATATTTGCCAGGCGGTAGTGATGCATGCCTTTAATCCCAGCACGTGGGAGGTAAAGGCAGGCAGATCTCTGTGAGTTCGAGGCCAGCCTGGGCTACAGAGTGAGATCCAGGACAGGTGCCAAAGCTACACAGAGAAACCCTGTCTTAAAAAAC